GTTGCATTTGATCTGGTGGCTAAAGGACACGATCAATGTCCACATCCAGTCATGGGACTCGGCTTACGGCGGTGACCGGGGCGGTGTGATTTTCATGTTTGTGACTAAAACCACTTCATATTTAGACAGGGCTTATGAGGGTGTTAAAATAGTGTGAGTTCACCCCTAAAACGAACAGTGCCCACATTGTGAAAGAGCCGAGTATAAGGCGTAGCATCTAGACTCTGCTTAATCCGTCCTCAATAAAGCTGACATAATGATCCTAAGCCGCCTTTCTACAAATTCATTCAGGGATTCAAAACTTTTTCCTTCTCTCCCTCTCTCTCTCTGTTTCTCTCTCTCTCTTTCTCTCTCTCTGTGCGATTTGCACATTCTCTCCGGATCTGGACCGACTGACTGCCAACCTCAAGCGTGGAGCTTTCTGAAGGGATAGTGAGTATGCAACAACTCCGTATGCTGCATGCGTAACCAACACCTGTTTTGGCACTTTACGCACTTAACGTCGGCGCTGCGGCGCGAATTGCGCGCTTTTACGCACGGAGCGCCTTGGAGCTGCTCAAGTGTCTTGCGTGTGGAAGTGTGCACGCCGCGGAGCCGGGGCTTGTGTGATGATCTTTGCAGGAGTAGTTCAGGCGTTTTTTTAAAATATTATTTGTTTGTTTTTTGTTTGTGTCTTAACTTGACGTTTTGTGTGTCAAGTTAAGTGTGTGTGTGTGTGTGTGTAGGGGGTGGGAGGTGGAGGTGGAGGTGGGGCAGCATGTTGGATCAAACCTGTCCACTGTGCTGCTTGCACGAAACCCAGGAGGACTAATTCCAAGTGGCACTTGAATTGGCCCCATTGCAAAGCTCTGTGGACTGGAAGTAAAGGCCGGTATTTTCATGCTGGTGTTAAAACCAACCTTCTAGCCTATAACCTCTCTCTCTCTCTTTTTCTCTCCCTCTCCTTCTCTCTCTCTCTCTCTTACACACACACACACCCACACACACATCCACACACACACACACACACACACACACACACACACACGACTTCTTGGATGTGTCTTATTATTTGTGCGCAACTCTGTTTAAGGAAATAAGTTTCTGCA